AGAGACCTGCAAATTCATTCTACTGCAGGGGACAACACGGAAGCGCCGATGCATCACCTGCTGAGCTAGCATATAAACTAGGGCTGTTTTTGAATTCACCTACTATGCTAGCAGTACGTACTGATTTGCCCAAAATCTAGTATGCAGTATGCAGTAGGCGAATTCGAAAAGGGCCTAGGTGTGTAGTTAGCAAATTGTCCTTAGCTTGTTTGTCCTCAGTAGTTATTTTTCTCCCCTTGCCTCCTTGTATCTAAATGTCGTTTTTACAGCCATAATTATTTTAACTCGTCACATTAGTCCTTATAATGAAAGTATTACATCAGTTATCCTCTTGACTGATAGTATTACCCTGACCGTTACCTTTTACTCCAATTTTAGTTTAAAGGCGTGTCCTGATTGGACGAAAAATTTGTTGCTAGGTAGATTCTGTAATATTGTAAACACGTAATGTAGGAAAGTAATGTATGTAAAGTATGAGTGCTTCGCTAGAAGTCTCGTAAGACCTTGATTATTGGTCAGTGATTGTTCATTCAATTAAAACTATAATGCACTGAAGAATACATTAAAACACTTAAGCCCTGTTGTATATATTTACACATTTTTAAATGTTTCGTACCTTTAGTCTGAACTTTCTTTTTTTTTATCTTGTTTTGAAAGGTGCCCTAGAAAAAAAAAAAAAGTTTATGTACCTTTATCTTATCTTAAACCCACTTGACCATTTTCCCTACTAACCCAGGCCCAGGTCACAGTGATTATTATCTAACCTTATTTTGAGTTTCCTTTCAAGATATTCACGGCTGTGTGCTTCAAGGCAATAATACTAATACAGCACTTAGGTAATTCTATTCTGGGTGCAAATTGAGTAATTTTACAGGCTACATTTTATCTGACTAGTTTGTGTTGCCTGTCATGTGTGAAATAAATGCATTTCCCTGTTATTTTAATGAATTACACATGGCTGAAGAATGAACAAGCTGTTGAACTAGCCAGAAGTCAGCAGGTCAGTTAATTATACATTATTCCACTTTTACAGCGCTGCCAGCTCACCGCTGAAAGTAGATAGTCTATGTCATCTTTCAAGATGAGTGAGACACATAGCAGAGACGGGACTGTGCACTTCCTATAACTGTCCCTCTCTGCAGGGCTCAACACACACGCACACACACACACACACACACACACACACACACACACACACACACACTGAAAGCTCTTGTCTTTCCATCTGGTAAAGTGGGCCGTTGTGATTGATTTGTGGATTTGCTCTCCCTTTTTTTCTCTCCATTTAAGTGAAATAATGTATGGAAGCAATCTGGCGACAGACATTTTGGAAAATCTATTTGAAATCATTTCAGCTGAAGCCATGGCAGTTTGTCTTCTTAGGGGAGAGGAGCAAAGTATAATTGTCTGCAGTCTAGTAAAACACAGTATAACTGCCATCACACTTGACTGAGCTTATAGCCAGCCAGTCCCATGGCCTCTAGAAGATAGAGCAGTTAATGTTCCCTTTTATTTTAGAGGATATGTCACTTGTGTCGCAGATTTATACCATGATACAGCAATTTTGTCCAAACAGATGGATAATGGTGTCACCGGCAAAAAGCCCTGTTTTTATTGAGTTTAGAGCATATTGTTTAGATAGGGGCCTGTGTTGAACAGCTCTGCCAGCGCTTTTTCTCTTTATCTCTCTAATCTCGCCAGTATTAGATTTGATCATTTTTGTTTGAAGGAGGAAAATGTGGCTGTAATGGCTTCCTAATAGCAAACACAGGGGATACAAATCCAGAGACCCTGTTCTGTAGTGCTTCCATAAGCACCACTGATTTATAGAGGTCTTTATGACAGAAAAGAAAATGATCTGCCGCAGGTATAAATCAGGTGAGGAGTAGGAAATTGAACTTAGATATCATCTTGTCAGATGCTTAATGCTCTTCCTCCTGTCACATTCGATAGGACCAATTTGGAGAATCCTGCAGAGGTAAAAAGAAGACAATTAACAATGACAGTGTGGTAATAGATGAAGCTATAAAATGAACCTGCTGCCTGCAGGATGCTTTGTATGATTTCTACATGAGGCAGTGGCACGGGAGTGTTATCTGGCCTTCCATTTCTTCTCTTCTCTATTCTGTTTATAGAGCTTTTTGAGCATCTGCCTCACAACACTATAGTAAAACAGCAAGAAAATATGTTTTTGATGCATTTACTCTGTTCTATAATTGAACTATGCTCCTGCATATGACAGGACTTGTAAATTGAGTTTAACCAGGTTTTTTATGTTATTGATTCTGAGGGCATGTTATATCCTAACTCTATATAAAATTAATCAATATATCAATTGTCACACACACAAAAATTATGCATGTGGAGGAGCATTAAAAGTACAAACAGCCAAATAAATCATATTGCCATGTGCTAGTTCAGTATATACCAGTACCTCACTTCAAAGTGTTTTAATGCAATGATGAAAGAGATATTTTCACGCGTATGTTTCTCTTTCCAAACCCGAGTCTTGCCTTGGTTTAAATAACAGCAGACTGTTTGCCATAATAATTGTCAAACTGTGTGGGTGCTCAAACAGATGTCATCGCTCAGTGTAGTAATGAGATCAAGATAGGACAGAGAATGACAATGCTCCCTGATCCCTGAATGTCACTGGTATAAACTACAGAGCGGTGGTTTATTGCCGGCATCATGCATTCAACCAAATGCATTCATTGCTTTACAGATAGAACGCGAGGGGGGAAAAATGGAAAGCCATCTATCCATCCCGAGTGTGTGTGGGTTTCAAATGACTTGAATTTTCAAAACTAATTTCTTGGAAGCTGATGACCTTTTGTGAAAAGCTGCTCAACTTTGTCAAGTGGCAATTCAAGTCCAAGCTGCTAAAGAGCTCCTGTAATATGCAGAGATCCACAGCTCGAGAGGCATTGCCCCTCACAGCTCATCAAGCCAGGCTCTTGTATAATCTAATTTGATTTTAATGCTTCTCTGAAGGAGATTGTGCTCTTATTACTGTGTAATGATGCTGTTGTCAAGAGCCAATGGTGATGTCTGATATCACAACCATGTTAACTGCTTCTGTGACACTTATCTCAGTGTTTTCCACATCGTCTCCACTGCACAATGGCTTTTTTTTTTCCTTATGTATTTTTACGGCTTTGTTGTTCTTCCTGTTGCATTTCTCTTCAGGATCGACAGAAACAGTGTAAAGCTTTAAAACTCCCTTCCTTATTACCCCTGTCTGATATGGTACTTTTTTCGTATTCAGTACAGTAGATAGAGCATAACGATGAAGGTCTTTCGCCGAGATGAGGAGAATTTTGAAGTGCTCACACTCGGGGGCAGCAAATGGAAAAGTGACAAGCCTGGTGCACTTGTCTATTTTACTTATTCTGTGCCTCTGTTTCATATTCCGCCTCGCACCGTGGGGTTATTTTCCTCCAGGGTTCAGAAGGGCACGCTCTTTCATTTCTTCAGAAAATTGTTTCGCAGGATTTCAATCTTTGGCTGCTAGATATGACAAAACACAATATCAAGAACACTTATGTTTCTTATCTGCCATTTTTTCTGGGTATAAATAAAAGATCAGTATAAATTTATGTCAAGTGGCCTCGAATGCACATGTGAGAGATGAGTATGAAAAGAACTATGAACCTTGGGACAGCACCACTGTACATTTTCATCGCTTGCACAAAATTACCTTGGCACTGGGGCTTTGTGTGTCATTTGTCATCCTTGAAAATCAATTAGTGTTTCCATGATAGCAATCCAGATGTAATCCTTCGAGTGTTTGGACAATTGGGCACAAAAACCTGAGTGTATCTTTTGTTCTATTTCTTTTAGATGTACTTGTAAAAGGTTTGGATGACACTCAATTAGGTGCAGACAAAGATGACAGTCTGAACATCCTGATCAGAGTTTAGGGGCCATCCTGAATATTGACTGTGTCCAAAAATATCTTGTCAATCCAATAAGACTCATCTCACTGCACAAATGCGATAACCTGAGGAAATATGATTTAAAAGTCTTAAAACAGTCAAGATCAAAATTTCACTTCAGATGCCATTTCTAGGTGATCTCTAGATCTCTGCACACTTCCATCCAAAATATGATAAAGCCACATATTAACGATCTTCCCCTTATTTGAAAATTCCGCATACCAATAAAGTACAAACAGTCAAAAACAATTCAGCGCAGTGGAATCAAACATATTACTCAAAGCTGTTTTATCGCCTCTAAAGCGCAGGGATGTTTTTGTGATGTATTAACTATGATGATGCACATATGTGCTGCCCATGTTTACTGGACAACCCCCCAAAGGTATAAAAAACATTCAAACGTTGTCCTATTGATGTCTCATTTTTTTCTCTGTTCGGCTCTTGTCAGAGGTCAACCTCAAACAGAGTGCGGTGGAATCAGGCGTTACTGTCGATGTCACATTGATGCATTACAAGGCCCGGGAGGTCACGTCTCTGTAAACATACATTATCAAAACCCATAGAAGATGTGGGCTGTTGACCTCACCAATAGTTTACGGTTTATCTTCAGGGGAAAAAAAGGGTCATGTGATGGCAGAAAGCAAGTTTGTAGCTGCAATGACTTTCTTGTTGCAAATGAAGAGGGTCAAGCAATCAAGACTGGTCGGGCTCTGTGTCAGCACCATTATCTTATGCTGTCTCAAATGATCAATGAGCTAAAATAAAATGATCACAAGCTAAAATTGGCCTGCTAATGAAAATGGACTGGTTAAACACGCTCCCTGGTTAGAGGCTGACTAGAGGAGAAATAGAGCAGCGTTTTAAAATACGTGACACAATACAGATAATAGAGCTGAAATAATAACTTCGAGCATTTTTATTCATAATTTCAAATTCTCATGGAATATCTCGCTAAATTTGATTCGGATTTGCAAGTAAAGCCAGTCAAATAACTGTTGAGTAAAAGAAAAAAAATAGCATCTATCTGTTTCAAGCTGTTGTGGTCCAAAGTATACACCGACGCAGGTTTTCCTCAAAAGTTTATTAAGTATTATTTAAACAGCAAAGGGATTTAGACATTCAGCAAACACATACTGTCTGTAAACATTTAAATGACTTTACTCTTCATATGTAAATATATTTCATTGACAATACTCTGAAACAGACTTACATTTTTAAAAAGGCACTGAAGGCAAGTGCACAGTACTGTCATCAATCTCATTTCCTCCCTTTCGGCAATAAATACAAACTGTATGTACATTCCCATTATTGTACCAAGGTTGTGTAAACATGTTTTTAGCACTACTGTGCCCCAGAGTAGCCTAGTAAACACTGTCATGGATGGCACAGCCTCATAGAAAACTTTAAATAATTTCCCATAAATAGAAGTTTTTGTCACAAAATCATTTTGTCTCAGCAATTTCCAATTAATAAAGACAGAGTCGTTCAAAAATATAAGAGAGATAAATACAAAACAGAGAATAACCAGAGAACTGACTTTTCCTGTAAGACACCAAGAACCCCATTAATTTAACATCTGGGCTATCCTGATCTTTGTCGTCCTCAAAAGTCGAGCCAAAATGGGCTGGACCTGAAACCGTACTGGAAAGGAGGTTTGTTTGGGAATTGCACCTAAATACTAAGGCTACGCGGTTTATTATTCAATTCACAACTACTGTGCAAAAACTACAAAGCAATTCTCAAAAGAAAGGACATTCTGTGCTGTAAGTTAAAAAAAAAGAAAAATCCACATCTGCTGACCACTCATGGCAGTTACTTATAAGTTGACTGTTATTTCTTTCAACATCCAGCATGACTTGTGTTAACATCATTACTCCACCTTTTTTATTCCACCTCCATAGCAGACAAATCTTGCTCCCCGTCAGATTTCTCAAGGGGTGGATCTTGTGACTCTGGAGTGCTTTGACTGTCTGATGCAGAACTGGGCTCTGTGGTTGTTGATGTGTCTGGCTCTTGGGTCTCCGTTTCAGCAGAGTCATCGGCGAGCTTGCTGTTCTCTGCAATGAGAGATAATTCAATTTAGATTGGCATGAATTTTCAAATAGTAGAAACCTAATGATAGCAGGAGGGAGAATAAAAGGACTACACTGACTTTTTAACATTAGTACAAAATAATTTACACTTCAGAGGTTCATGCCCTGTGTGGACAAAACCTGTTTGAAGGTCATAATCACCTAAAACAGATTGGTGATCATCCACCTCTGCAGCTGGTGATGGCAAGGGCGCTTCGGATGGCATCCTCTGCTCACCTGTGACCTCAGGGAGTCTGGGTGCCTGAGGCCTGGTCTTTCTCGCGGGGTTCAAGAAATAACAATATGCACACCGAAAGGCTGCGACGACAAATAAGACACCATTCATTTATTATACGTCCACTGGATTACACATTCGCAAACAGACTTAGATTAATATACATGAATATGAAGCGATGACAAAAGATGCTTGAGATGCATAAACATTTCAGATTGATGTGTAGCACTCGTTTGGATTTTCAATCTTGTTGCTTTTTTGCTTACAGGGGTTGCTGGTGGCAGAGGCATTTAAGAGCCATATGATATACTACGCTGCCAAATGCTAGAGGGCAAATGGCGGCACAGCGTTTGATAGAGATGAACAGAGAGCGCTGTGTTCCTTTAAGTCTTACCAACGTATTCAAATTCCTCCTTTAATGCCATGCCGTTATGGGAGAGACACTGCTGACATATGAGAGCGAATCTATGAGATAAGAGAGACAATTGAGTTATGACAGCTTACATGGCAGCAAGCTTAATTCACAGTTAATCTCGAGGAATTATCAGCATCTCAGCATCACTTTTCAGAGCAAGATAGAAATAATACATTTGGCGTACGCATGTAGATTACCTATCACATATAAAGGATCAGTTTAAGATAATCCTGCAGAAAAAGTACTGCATTTCTGTAATTCTGTAACTACACTTCACCAAAATGTTCACGTAATGCATTCATGCATTTAAAAGCAGAATTAATGTACCTGTTCTGAGGGCCATCTCCAACAAGATACTCAATGACTCTGTCCATGGCACCTCTCTCCCTTGGGAGCACAGGTCTGGCCAGGGGTGGGCCCGGGGGGTGCATCCCTGTTAAAGCACAACATCAATGTGTGTTAGACACAGTCAGAGGTCTGCACAAACTGTAGTTACTCTGGTCTGTGTGCAATCTAAAGTGAAATCTTCAGGCTGAGATTCTCAGTTAGATGCACAAATCCTGATGAATTTTAGGAAATCTCTGCCCCTTTTTTTCTTAATGACTGAACACCGGATCTCAGTTGCAAAGCACGTCCAGAATCCCTGCTGTGTTGGTGAGTAGTAATTAATATAATCTAACATCAAGAGCAATCATAGGAAGATGACTGGTCATTTCTGTGAGACTTGGCAGAGTCTCAGTATCCTGCTGGTTATTAATTTACCAACATATGGAAACTCTGTGGTGACTCTTTGTATCAAATTGCTTTTCACTTTCAATTTTCCGCAGAAGCAGGTGATAACATCAAGTCATGTAAACCATTTGTGAGGTGTTCCCAATGCCAAAGGCAATTTCACCAAGCATTAAAAGACATTTAGTGAGATTCTACCACCATTGCCCAGAGAACAAACGCAGGTCTGGCTAATTAATCATAGTTAATGTAATCCTGATTCCTGCATACCTCACAGTTGGCATTCCACATGGCAATTACAGCATGCAGCTTCCTCTAGGAACACATTTGCTTTACTGTTTGCACTTATTTGCATCTTCTATTGAGTGTTCATAGTCCAGAAATAATTCATATTAAATATCCAATGCCTCTACATGCTGCACGTTTCCCATTTACAGCAACTGTTTCACAAAGTTTTCATGGTGTTGGCTGGCTGGGTTTTGAAATCTTTGAAAGCGATTTATAAAACAAGAAAATACATTAGTGCCCCAAATTAAATGTTCTGACTGTATATAAGTTTGTCCCTATGTTTAATATTAGTTCCTAATTATTACCTTGAAAAAGGATCAACCTTTTAGTAAGATATTTAAAACTACATTCACATAATTACCCATTACAACCACTGTATAATATATACCACATTTCTGACAACACACACCACAGGGCCTTCAGCAACTGGGGACACAAAGCCAGGGAAGAGTAAATCACACCTTAATCGACCACATTATGATGTGGTCCCCCTGTGTGCAGGTAACTCACCGACTCCTGGAACAGGTGTTCCAGGGGTCACGGGCCTCCTCATCAAGCTCTGCTGAGCAGCTATAGCCGACAGGCCCCTCTCTGGGGGTCCACCTGGAGCAGAGTGGGAAGATCGGCCAGGATAGGTGGGCCCAGAGGCAAGAGGAGGGCGGGCAGCAGCTCCACTTACAAGATTCACCACTGGTGTGGGGGTCTTAGGGATGACATTGCGCTGGCGAAGCTCTAACACAGAAAACATTACAGATCGTTTAACAACAATAAGAAATGTTGGAGAGAAAGGTGAGAACATAATGCACCTTTCTGGAACTCTTTACTACCTTGTCCTGGTTTCGGAGTCATCTGTGGTCCAACTGGAGTCGATTCAAGCTCCTTTAGATGGATTACAATAGGCAATAGGATTACAATAGCAGCATGACTTTATAAGGAATACAATTAAACACTATTATTTCATCTTTCATGTAAAAACAAAATGACTCACAATCTTTTTCTTTGAATCCGGATCAAATCTCTCCAGAATCATTTTAGCATTTTTATACGTCTCAGTTTCCATAACTTCTTCAAGCTGGAAAATAATGACATCACATGGTGTATTAAGATAAATGCTGACATGATATTTTCAATACATTGCCCAATGTAATTATTCATATAATGGCTCTTTTGCACAAGAATAACTTAATGATCATCTGATAAAATTAATAGGTGTTTTATGAACACACATTAATATCTTAAAAATCACCATCAATTACATTTCAAGTTTGTGACTAAGAAAGGGCAGCCTGAAGTTACTTCACTAAATAGTATATCTTGATTTAAATTAAGCACTTAACATTTCTTAATGTTTACATCTAGTATGAAGAATAATTACATTCACTACTTCGATTATGGAGAGTGTGAAAATCCATCAGCACTAATTATTGAAAGTTATTAGACTTGACAGAGGATGACAAGCAATTTCTCAGATTTATTTCTTTCCTGCACTAAATGCTATTAATTAGAGTGACATTAGCAGAGTGGGTTAAGTCACTGTACCAATAAAACAGTCTGTAGATCTCATATTGATAAGTATCTTGTTGCAAAATGCTGAGCAACACTACACCAACTTTCTCAATTAATTCTTTCATTCTCTGTCTGGTCTGTGCAAACATCATAGAGATATGAGTTGAACTATCTTACTAGTTAAGGGTCAGGTACATGACAAGTGTTTTCTGAAATATTTCTTTGTTGATATATCTAACTGTAAAGTGAATTTTAGCAGCATTAGAAATAGTCTATTGAAGAAACTCCTATCATAAAATAATTAAGTTTGTTACAGCAAATCAGATTTAGTTTTTTGTTTTCCTTGTTTCCTGAATCCATTTATTTGCAACTGGAAAAATAAACACTAATGTGTCAAGTTCCCTTTTTTTTGTGGTTTCCCACTCAGAAATATCCTTCCCACAATGTAAAATCTGATTTGCTTGATCCTTAATTGTTTACTATGTATTTAAGTGATTGTACTGCAAAAATATCACTTTTTACTTTACTGGGGGTGATCTATGTTCATTCTCAATAAAGTTTTTCTTTAAAGCTGCAAGATGCCGTGCCGTGACTTGTTTTAGCCCTTCAGGTGAAATCAAAGGAAACCAAAAGGTCAGATATAAGAATGAAACCAACAGAAATCATCATTCAACAAATATTTAAATATAACACAACTCACTATTTTCCTTTTTTGTGCTTTGAGATCCTCCAATTTTTCATCTGAAAAGAAAAAAAAAAAAACAGCAACTTCAACACTACATAATCGTAATGTTATACCTTTGTATGAAATAATGAAATTATAATGAAATGAAATTAATTAATAAAAGACAAATTTATCTTACTATTTTTTTCAGTCCTTCGTGAAAAAATAACTATTAGGAACTTTCGAAGTAACCACACTCTAAAGGGAGAAATAAGAAACAATTTATATCATAAAAACAATCTTGACCAAATGCAGATCTGTGAATATAAGTAACTCATCTTGTACACTTACAATAAAGGAAATATAACAAAGGGCAGAGACAATATGAGCCGTCCCATCAACTGTTCAGGCAGATACCAGAAATACACCACAATACATGTGACCAGATAGAGCAGAGACGAGTACAGAAGCAGCCGCCCAACCCATATCTTCAACTGCCTCTGATACTTCTCACTGTAGTCTTCAAGAGTCTGGATGTCCTACGAGGAAAAATGAAGGGGCATTACATACAAATTAGATTTTAAGCATGATTTCTCAGCACTGAGTTGAGGTGGTTAAAGTCAGGTGGACTAAGCCCTACTGCACTTAACATCCTCAACACAAGATGCACTGAATGGCTATATGGGACACAATTCATGAACAAAAATCTAACTACCAAACACTGCATATTTAAGTACATTTAATCAAGACAGTCAATCAGAATACAATTATGCATAATTATGAAGTAAAATGTTGATAAATTAGTTGGTTTTGCAAATCAGTAACTGATACTTCAGAATTACACACTCTGTAATGCTACATCCTATATTATCACAATCATCATGTTATAAGGATAGGAGTAAAAATATCTCATCTTTCTATAAATGCAAAAGAATATCATTATACGTATTATTATTCTTACTAATGTAAAAATTTGTTTTTGCAATCAGAAGTATTCAATTCATGATTTGTTGTTCAATAGAGTAACCCTATACCGCTGCACTTAAGTCCAGGCTGCCCCATCCATAAATAACATACAAACAGAATAGGACCCAGTCTGGTCACTATGGTTCCTCTGTAACATCTGTGTCTGTCACTCCAACTCTGAATAAACAAATACCACAAGCAGCTGTACAGTATTTGAACTTGTAAGATAACAATGCACATGAAAAATTATTCCAGCTAAAAAAAAAAAATCCTTATGCAAAAGATCATTGTTTTTAAAGTAGAAACTTGCCCCCACAAACTTCTATGCCAGCTGACCTCTTGAGTTAAGTGCCTCCTGCTCCAAGGGCAGGTGCTGAAAATAACCTGACACTAGCTTAACTGTGCAGGAGCACCAAAGCCCTATAGGAGAGCAAATGAGGAGCTGATTTGACATCCACTTACTTATCTGATAACTGATATAGCAGCTTAGTTTTGACATTTTAACTTTTAAAAAAACAAGTTTAAACAGCCACTAAGTACCTGAAGGGTTACCCAGCCTCCACAGCTTTTCTTCATTTGTTCAGGTGATAAGAAGGACTCATATTGAAAACCACAGTGTTTGCTTAAAAAGTTAATGCTTCAGTGTGTGAAGAACATGTGGGTGTTTCTGGTTTGTGTAGGCTTTGCAAACATCACTCAAGTGTTTTCTGAACATGGGTCCAGGCATTGTATGTAAGATTGCAAATGTTCAAAGCAGTTGATCTGGACACAACCTTTACCCGAGAAAGCCCCCATGAACAAATAATATCTGATAATGTAATGAGCTAGTGTATGAGTACACCATGCCTAACATTACACAGCAACAAGCCTGTTAGTTTTTTAACTAAGTGTAAGCTGCCTACTCTGTTCTGATGCCTGTGTAATCAGATACAACCTAATGTAAGCAGAATTACTATCAACTCATTACAGATGAGACATAGCACTTTACACGGGCAACTCCTCTTGCCCAAACCACACATAAATGGTTTTGTTGATGAGAACTTGTCTGATTCAGACAATATCTTTGGTTGTTTGTTTCATGTGTGAAAAATATCAAATTCTGGACATTGTTGGTCCTGACTCTGCAGACTTTTTCTGGACAAAACAGCAACCAAACTGTAGAGATTTACTGCGAAGAAAAATCTCCTGCTGCTAAAATGTAAACAGGGCATTAGAGAATATGGAAAACACTGTTGAAACCTTTTTTTGAGGTTAAGCATACCTTATCGATTCCTTCCAAAATCTCCACAGTGGATGGTTTGGTCTGTAGGGCAAACATTGTGAAAGCCCAGTCAGCAACATTTGCCACAACACACAGTACACTTTGTGCAAGCAACATTTTAAACGATTTTACCATCTCCCTGTTTCCTCATCTGACTTCTGCATTATTTTCAGTGTTTACTTCCTTCCTTTTTGTAATTTCAGTAAACTTGATTGTGCATGCCACAATGGCCAGCTATGTAGGTCTTTTAAAGCAAATAAACATTGTAAATGCCTGGGGGGTTGACTTAGTTACAGAAGTCAAACAGGTGCACAACATGCGCACTGTCAGCTTCATAATCTAAAGCTGACTGGTCAAACCTTACCTTATTCTTCAACAGATTTAACAAATATTGTCAAATTGTGTGCAAAAAGAAATGCTGCTTTTAAAGCGGCATAAAGAGGAGAGATGATTTGAAACAAACCTTCCACCGTGAGACGACAGCCCCCATGTTGATCAGGGAGTGTAGGAGATTCTGTATCTGAGACCCTCCTCTGATTTCCTCTTACAGATAAGCTCTCCACCTGTTGACAACAGCAAACAGCTTGAAGACACACTCAGACAGCAATTTAATAGGGTAGATGAGACAAGCATGACTTGATGAAAGTATAGAGAAGGGCTGATTGAACTTTTTCTAAATTAGGAAATTTTAAATCCTGTTTCGGAAATTAGTGAAATATAGTGGATATAATTTATGAATGAACTTGATGACAATATTGCCCATGCAATGCAATATTGCTCTAACAGTCTCAACACGATCTGAGCCACTAGTCCATCTAGTCTGAACATGCACTGTTGCTGGGATGATGTATTTGGAGGCACTGCTTTCAGACACGTGTACCTGTCTGAATCTACCTTGCATTACTGTTTACATGCACAGAGTTGCACACATTAGGTAAGATTGCAACATTCTTCATTTTTAATATTCAATTATAATATTCCTCGGTGCTCATTTACTCTGACAGTAATGCTTATATGTCGTCTACATAATGCATTCAAACACTCCGCTTTAAACCCACGTTGACCTAAGTTACTAATACTTTGCTAACACAAATGGCGAACTTCTCTGTAGTTTTGGAGGCAAAGGGCATTTCAAAACAACTTTATCTGAATTTAGAGGCTACATTGTCGCTTACATCGCTGGAAGAGCGTGTCATATCGCTATTTGCAGCTAAAGTTTCCTAAATAACTTCTTAACCCACTTGAAAGATCGAGATAGTTCGCATTGTCGTGCCCCTAGCTAAGCATAGGAAGCTAACAGCTAACTGCTGCTAACACTGAGGTCAGTGCAGCCAGCCCCGGAGCTGAACGAGATAACTGCCAGCAGACATGAATAACTTTGGTCCCACACTTTAAAAGCAAGCGGGAGCGAATAAAAAACCATGAAAAGTGAATGAATAACAGCCACAAGTAAGGAAGTAGAGCCGTGTGTTTACCTTGGCTGGAGAGTAGTCCGGTTGAAACAGCCCGTGTCAGTCAGGACTGGAGTCCTTCTGTCTTTGGACCGAGGGTGTGTTGGCTAAGACGGGGGAGTGTCCACGGAGAGGACAGACATGGAAACAGAGCAACTGTGTTAGCACGAAAACTATCTGCCCTGCATATGGTGAGGCACTGCCCTACACCCTTAGTCGATGATAACTACTCGTCTTGTCAATTAAAGTTGTTGAGTGTTTATGCTGTTAGCTTTGGAGCCTTGTATTAAGTGACTATACCTGTAATCTGTAATTAGGAACATGCTCTTACAAGTTTCCTGAGCTCATTGTTGGCCATTTTCCACCATTGCCAGAAGACCCACAAAGATTACTCACTATTATAGCCTGCAGCTGTTTGTTGTGACTATACAATCATATTGGAAAAGAGGCACTCCATTTGGTCCTAATAGAGAGTTGTGGTTTGGAGTTAAACCAGAGACCGCTGCAGCAAGGACTGTAGAGTACACTAGACCAGCCTCTACCCCAGATCACCCATCTTTAAAGGAAGACATGACTTCATTGACAACCTGGTTAAATTGTTAAATAAATGCACTTTTGGTTAATGTTGCTCTATGGATGAATGTTACGTCACAGAAAATGTGTCCACATTTTATACCATCTTTAGGGACAACAAGAAAGATCAACTTTGGCGCTTTGAGTCCTGTGCTGATATTCAAGTACATCATCTACCAATTATTAGGCATAATATGTATAGAACATCATGTCTTATTTGTCTTTCATGCATACACTCAGCTATAAAACCAAAATACGGTCATTATATTTCAACCCAGTTCTAATTTCTTGAATTACTAGTTGGTCTGTAAACACGGTTGAGCACACAGAAGCAGGGTTTGGCACCAGATATCCTGAAACACTTATTTAATGACTACACCAGACACAGGAAAATAGGCAGCTGCTCTCAGTGGTTATATTTTTGTTTGACAATGGCTGAGGAATTACATGATTATCTGATGATTTTAAAATTCAGTTAGCTGACGACGTGTGAAAAAGCAGTGTCTTTGGTTTACAGAGGTTACACCCATACCAGTTTTACAATAAATATGACAGCTACATTACATTAATTTTACTTAATACAACACATGTAAACAAGCATTAACACCCTTTATCTAGTGTTCTCTCTCCTGTGTTAAGCCATGGTAAGGCAACACATCCAGACAGTCAAATGCCCGTGCCCATACACAAAGTCTCATCCAGAGAATACTGACCCTGGAGAAGGGACTTTTTTCAGGGGTCAACCAATATCCATGGGACATTATTCAGCCAGAAAAACCTTTTTTGAAAATATGTCAAACCATGACTTTAATCTCACCTGCACTTTTAAAACATAAAGGCAGTATCCCCTCTTTTATAATACAAATATAAACACGTTTTTTTAATTTCCCTCTGGGATTAATAAAGTATCTATCTATCTATCTATCTATCTATCTATCTATCTATCTATCTGTCTATAATACAAAGATGTTCCACTGATCAAAAATGAAAACAGACAGCTCCTTCATACCAGCTGCTGTGGACAATTCAACTCAGACTGTCATAATTCATCTTAAATGGTCTTTTTTCAGCATACCTGTTTGATTTGACTGATTCGGATAGTTCTGCTACAATGTTTGCACCAAATCTCACCACACCAGATCCAACAGTGTTATGACAGTTTGCGTAAAAAACTCAAGTATCATTGTTTGGTAAGATATACTGTGTGGTTCAAAAATTTGACATGCTCCTAATTATCAGGATTTATCTTCTTTGTGCCATGAAATCTATCAAAATTCTGGGTAAAATGTGGATTCTCAGTCTGGACTGAAGTGCTGGACAAACAATGTAATAATCTACAGTTCACTTCCCCAGACCTAAATACAAAGCATGGCTTGAAAGTTACAACTGTTGGTGTAAAGTTTTGCTCTGCACTGGTGTTGGCAGCCCAGTTTTTTCGGTTGTGACAGGAGAAGGCAAACTGAAGCAGACCACCAATAAATGGGTGAATTTTATGTACTTGCTTGGCTGAGCAGACAGTTGGACATCTCATTTTTACCGACTGCCTCCACCGCTGCTTCAACATGCTCGATCTCTGTGAGGGTTGACTAATGCCAACAGAAACACCACAAAAACACCAGCCAGTGGTCAACCACAGAGACTCAGCCGTGGCCAAATGGCACTAGAAGGCGATGGTCAGCTTTGTGTTTTAAGGCCCTTTAGTTTCTTTTCTTAGGTCTCATTGGTTGGCAGAGAGGTGGGGTTCAGTTTTTAAACCAATGAAGCCAAATTGAACCACTGTGCTTTTCATTTCTTTCAAGTCTGTGCTCAGGAGTTAGTTTGTGCTGAACTTCTCAATTAAACTAATTTAATTCAAGAGTGTTAATGTTCACATTAGCTTTTAATTTTTAGTGAAATTAATATCACAACCAGAAGATTGGTCAATACAGACACTATGAAAGCCTTAAAGAAATATTGAAGTTTATCAGCCTGGGGAGGTCAAACACTTTCTTCCAGTCTTTACTCGACATTAACTGCTGGACTGACACGTATAACAAGTTTTTAACCCAAGTAATCAAAATTTAGATGTTTACCGTTTGTATTTTGCATCTGTTTGTATATTTTAATCTTTATTTAAAACAGGAGAGAACAAAAGGACAACATTAAGATTAATGCCCCCACCAAATAATCTAGGCAGAGAGTGATTCAGTAATCCACAAGGAAGTTCTGATTTATAAATAGCCTTAATTTAATGAGATAATCCCTTTGAGATCAAGATCTTATTTACAAGAGAGCCAAGTATTCGTTACCTTTATTAGACTCGGAAGGGACATTGAGATGAAATCCACTTAACAAGTGAGACCTAGCCAAGACGGGGTAAAAAGGAGAGCATGGACAAAAGGGCAAAATAAAATCACTTTAAACGGTTCAAAATTCAGGTATGCCATTCAGTCACGTTAGCTTGATCAACACAGTTTAACAGTAAAAATTCCTTTATTCCGGGGCAATAAAATAAATTTGGGCATGGCACAGCTTCAAATATACCTTGGAGAATTAAAACACAAAGTTTATATTTAATGGTTAAATATTCTCACCTGAAACATGACAATCACACCATTACAGTTCCTTCAGAGCCTGCATGATAAACCTACACCTACAATGTTATGGTGTTTGTGTGAATCCAAGGCAACTTGATCACCTGAAAACAAAGACGTTGCAAAACAGTTAAACAAGAATGCAGTCAGTAGAGTCAGTTGGCAAGCAGAATTTAAAGAACTTGTGGCAGCATGTTGGCACCCATTTTTACTTCTGCCTGTGTGTGTCTTGTAAACAAAAGATCAGAAACCTGGAATGAACCTAAACAAAAAAAAAGGAGCCTGATGCATCTTCTCAAGCAGAAGAAACAAGTCAAGTGCTAGCTTGCAGTCACTTTGATATTACTTATGAGATCCTTTTTGTATTAAGGTCACATTTTAAACCTTGTGTGGATCCATATTTTATTGAAACTGTAAAACTCTCTGAAGCTCTTTGCAACTATGAAATTGGCTCTGACAAATTATGAAACAACAAAACTATACAGCAAAATTTGGCGGGAAACAAGCATTGATAACTCTGTTGCAATATCAAAAAGAAGACTTACCTTGCTACTTACTTTGTCCTCAACATGCAAAAGGCCAGCCAGAGGAGCTGCAGTGGTTTTATGCTCCCTGGTCCTACCATTTTTAAGGAGCAGGGGTGTGTTTGTGACTATCTTTGGCAAAGTCATTTTTTAGTGCTGCCAGTTACCACGAATCAAGGTGTGGCAATACAGCTTATCTATGGCTGAAAAAAGTTACACAAGTTATGAATTTATTTAGCTAAATTTAAACTTAATGCATGGCTGTGTGTTGTGAGCTCCCCCACTGTTGGTTTGGTCCAGTTCAAATCTGGCTCCAACAGAGTTTTCATCAACCCTTCTAACCCTTCTGTTAGTCAGTTTGCCAGACTGGCTTACGTAATAATTTTTCCAACAAGATATTTTCTAATCCTCACTTTCGGCATTTACCGGAAATAAAGAAGAATCTAATCCTCAACTTTGCATCCTTGCTCTTTTTCAAGAAAAGAATTTTGTTTTCACGCAAATATTATACTCCATAGGCCAAATGTTCCAGGTGAGCAACACTGTGGATTGTTTGTATTTAAAATATGAAAATTTGATGTTTTCTTTAAACATTTACCAAAAACTTTTATGGTTGTTGAAACAGGGCCTTGTTCCAACAAATGCTGTGGCCATTTAGGTGGGCTGCATGTTTTGTTGTTGCGAGTGAGGCCTAACTGTGAGTTGAGCAAGCCCTTGACTGAGGTCATAGGAGCTAGCCTGAGAATAATTTGGTAACTTAAATTAAAGTTTGATTACCTTCTTTATTTTTTAACTCATAAAGTGGTGTTTAAACAATTTCATTTTGTGATAAAAATGTGTCGTCTTTGTCTTGCTGTTCAAAAAAACAACATAATGTAGTTAATGACACAGGTTTCTCTCAAAGCCTTTACTTAAACTTAACTCTGTGTTCCTGTAGCTTTTGTGGTTTTTCTTAAGTTTCACTGTGTAGATGCCTGGCCAGTGTCGTAGTTCAGGAGTCCAGTACTCAGAGTTAAGCGCGGCAAGTGACTTGACTTGGCCTTAAGTATGTTGCTGTTATCTGGCCATTGCTAATGCTAACCTCCGTGCAGCTAAAGACTTGATTTGGACTTGAGTATGTTGCTGTTATCTAGCCATTGCTAATGCTAACCTCTGTGCAGCTTGTGACTTGACTTTGACTTGAGTATGTTGCTGTTATCTGGCCATTGCTAATGCTAACCTCCGTGCGGCTAATGACTTGACTTGGACTTGAATATGTTGCCGTTATCTAGCCAATGCTAATGCTAACCTCTAAAGTAACTCAACCGCTGATCCAACAATATTTAGTCAGTTAATTTTGTGATCTATAGCTGGTTAGGTATTTATTTCAGTTCAAGATGATTCCACTGCAGCAAAATCAATGAGTGCATCCCTCCATGAAGAGCGCTTCCGAGTGCATTATGCT